CCTGCGGTGTTGTCCGAGGGCCGGGGGTCCGGGGCAGAGGGCGAGGCTCAGGCCCCTGGGGGTGTTGTCCGAGGGCCGGGGGTCCGGGGCAGAGGGCTAGTGTGAGCCTACGGTGGACGGCAAGCAACTCCCTGCCACCTCCAACCCGCCCTGGGTGGAGTCTGAGGGTCGCCTCCCACCCCATCCTCCGTCCCTGGGGTGGACAGCGAGGGTCGAGCCCGAGTCCAGGCCGCGAGGCCACCCTCACGTCCCCTCAGGCGGGAAGAGGCCCGGACGACCGCGGCAGGCGGGGGCGTTCTAGGTCCCAAGTTACCGGAGCCGTTGGGGCCAATGATGCAGGTGAACCTCCTGAAGGGGCCTATGACCTGGCGGCCCCGCCACGACTTAAAGTTCTCCACAAGCAGCAGCTCCAAACGGCCCATGGCTGCGCCCTCCGCGCCTCCGCCGCGCCCTCACACGCCGGCCAGAAAAGCGCGGGAAGAGCCTTGCGCCGTCTCGCGAGAGGAAAGCGAGAACACGAGCCGAGCCCCGTGCTGTTTCTTAGCAACCGGAGTTGTTTATGTTTCCGAGGAAACTGGGTCTCCTCGCCTCTGGCGCGGTGGGAGAAGGCCGGACTGAGAACCTCTGGAGCAGGCTCAGATCCCACCAGCCCAACCTCCTAGGGAGCCAGCCTCGCTTGGCTTGAGCTTGTTTTGTTTGTTGTCTTTTCTTTTAATCTCGCATGTTTTAAAAACCTCTTAGAATTTCTTGGCGATTCGCAGTCATGGAGGTAGCGCAGCTCAAGTACCTGGAGGAGGACTTCGGCCTGGCCAAAAGGAGATACGCGGAGCTGCGCAGGCAGAAACGGATCTTCAATGCCAGGAACAGGATCATCGGGGTGAGACCCTCCGGCCGGAAGGGATAGGGGCCAGGAGGGAATGTGGAGGAGCGGCTGGGGGCGAGCGAGGTGGGCGGCGGGAAACAAGAGGTGATGAACCCTTGGAATGAAACTTTTGATCCAGGCACAGCTGCAGACGGCTCCAGGCTTTGCCGGGAAGATTTGTTCCATGTATTGACTTTGCTGAGGATGGGAAAGACCTTACCAGACCAAATAATGCCCCCTGTCCCTTGCCAGACAGGCAAATTGAGTCCTGCAGCGGGGAGAGAGCTTGCCTGGAGTTAATGGCCAGAGACTGGAACGCGATTCTCCTCTCTCTGAGCCGGATTTTCTACATTGCCAGGAATTCCCTCCAGTCCGTTCATTTGACAAATGCCAGTGGAGTTCCTATTTTGTGGCAAGCCTGAGCTGGGCCCAGGAGATGAGGAGCAAGGCAATACTTGACCTTGCAGAGTTCATAGCCCAGAGTGGAGGAGGCAGGCATTAAAATGGTCACATTATAATGCAGTGGAGTCAGTGCTGTGAGGGAGGCGAGCAAAGGCTGCCAGGGAGCACCAACTGGGGCTGGCAGAGGAAATCAGAGAGGACTCCCCAGAGGAGGTGATGCCTAAGCAGTGTTCTGAGGATGAGGATCTATTGACTGAGAAGGGGAGAAGGAAGCTCTAGGGAAATTTAAGACAGGCTGAAGAACCAGCTATAAGCAAAAGCAAGATTTGGCTTTACAGTAGGATTGTTATCAACTGAATCAAATTATCTGGCTCTAATTCCCTTTGTTTTCCTTTCCCAGGGAGACACAGAAGCCTGGGACGTTCAGGTTTGTGACCAGAAGATAAAAGAAGCAACTGAAAAAGCTAGACAGGAAACCTTTGGTGAGCATTCCCTGAATG